GGCTATATAGGCTATTTCGGTACATCAATGTACCCAACCCAGGAAAACATCGGCGCGCATAGGCTATATAGGCTATTTCGGTTCATCGATGTACCCAACCCAGGAGAACATTGGCGCGCATAGGCTATATAGGCTATTTCGGTCCCAACCCCCCCCAAAAAAAAACGCGCAAGCACTAACAGGGACGACGCAGGGCACTCCACAAAAACACCTGGGGAAACCTGCGGAGGGAGCGTTTCGGGAACCGGTCGCCAACGCGGGAAGCCACAAAGGGGGGAAGCCTGCTAAGCCTCGCTGGGTGCCTTTCGGGTGCGCACTCCAGGATCACCACGAGAAAGTCCACCGCTTCCGGCCTCAAGGATGACAAGGGCAAGGGAAAACAACGTAAAGGAACCACAGGCCAGAGGGGTACCTAGAAACTTTCGGGGCCTCGAGGGGATTAGGGACGCAAGACGGCGCGCACTCACTCGCAGGGCGGCGGGGGAGGGGCAAGGCCGGGACCTACTGAAAGCAAAAGCACTTGCAGGGCAACGGGCGGGGTGAGGCCGGGGCTCGGGGAGCCTACCGTGAAAAAAAAATGCAGCACTCTGAGGAGGCAGCTTCCGAAAAACCCTCCCCAAACCTAAACCGCCCACCCCTAATCTGCTGTGATGCGGCGCGGGTCGTTCATGTCCACATGACCGCGGGGAGGGGGACAAGGGGACAAAAGAACAACTGTGCGCACTCGCTTCCAGACCTACCGCAAAACAAAAAAACACTCCTACCACTTGTCCTCCCACCGTTTCCCGAGTCCCACTTTTTGCGTCTGGGCTGCCTTCGCTCCCGGTTTGAGGAGTGCGTCCAAATAAGGGATACTAAGGGTTTTTAGCCGGGATTGCTCCAGAAAGGCGGTTTGGACACACTCCTTGAGCTTAGAATTTGACCAATGATGGATTGCTGACCGAGCCTAGCTGTTAGTTTTAATAATCCATCAGTGGCCAAATTCCGGCTTGTTCTAGGCTACGTCCCGCTAGCTGCTGCTGCTAGTGCTTGCTGGCGGTGCTGTTGCTTTGTGCTGGTGGTGCCGCTGGTGTGCTGCCCGTTGTGTCGCTGGTGTGCTGCTAGGTGTGTGCTGTTGCTTGTTGCGGGAGGGTTTCGGGACCCGAACCCCTAACAGCCAAAGCCTTAGGGGACGTGTCCGCCCTCAGGGCGGCGATCAGCCGCCGTCGGGCAGCGCGCCGCCACCGGGCAGCCGAGCGGCCATCGGCAAAGGGACAAGCCAAGGAACTCTTGTATGTTGGAAGGCTCCACTGTACACGCAATTCAAAGGAGGCCGCTCTGTGCACCAAGCTACGCTTTACCATCTGACTCCGCGCTGTTTGAGGGGTCCCTGTTGGGGCCAGGTACCGGGTAGCCGATGATGCGCCGGA